CTGTTTGGGTGAGTATAACTTTTTTTTCTTAGCACCTAGACAAAAACGAGCAGTTAACCCTTGCAGTGTGGGGGTAGCCCAGCTACAAGGGTTAATAAAAGTTTTGCCCAGAGTTCTTCTTTAAAGCAGTATGAAATAAACACCGGATTGCTACACGGCTACTAACCCCTCTAAAGGTATTCCAACGTTGGTGCTCAGAGTTCAGCATTAGATACAAGAATTGTGTTCAGTCTTTGCATTTTATTAAATAAAGCCCAACATGTAATGTTCAGTTTGAAGCTTATAGTTATATAGGTTATATACATACATTGTAGAAACTTACTCTAATAAATAGATTGAACTCCTACTTTCAACTGCACCTGAGTATAATTACACAGCATTGTCTAAAGGATATATTTAATATTAAACACTAATAAAACTGCTATGTACATTAATTACATGAACAGGAGCTACCACAAAAATCACATTACAAAATTGCAACACATTTGCACATAATAAACCATTTTTGTGGGAACAAAAAAACCTTACAGAGCATAGCTTTCCATAAGGTGGAAGCCCTTCAAATTAATTTCTGCATCAACGAAACTGTTCAGTGACTTCATACCTCTTATGTAAAATATTTAGATTTCCAAAACAAGTGCATAGTAATGTAAGAAATAAATGAAAACATATTTTTAGATTGAGAAGTGGAAGACACACCAGGATTAACTGTAGCAACTTTTAGAATGCATTTACAACATCTAACAGGTTCCCTAAGCCAGAGAAAGGACAATGACAACTACATGTAATTTGCTTCCCATTGTGACCAATGGGAATACTTGCTTTGCATGAAATAAGGGTTTCTGGTGACAACAGCTCTACTTTTGTGCTACTTATGGTGTCTATGAGTGGCCTTAGGTCTCTGAAAATGACAGCAGGTAAGATATCTGCTCATCATGCAATGCATTGTTGAAGTGTTCAGACTCAAGTCACCATCATACTTTGGCAACAGGTGACAGCAACACATACATGGTAATACCTCCACCTCCACAGATGAAGAGAGATTGATACCTGCTTGCATGAAGACTTTTAACAAATTGTGTGATAAGAAGCTCCTTTGATGACCACAGGTACATATCACCCTTCAGGGAGGTCATATATAGCCCAATAGTTGCAAGGCCTGTTGAAAACCGAAGCATTGCTGGATAAGATGAGCCAGCAGTGGCCACCCTAATTGAATGTTTATAGTGTGCTTTCACTAGGGCTGCAACAACTAATCGACATAATCGATTATAATCGATTATTGAAAAAGTTGTCAACTTTTTCAATAATCGATTAATCGGCTTCCGATCAGACTGTGTTATACCAGTGGCATGATCAAATGTAAAACATGTAAAGAATTCTATTGTATAACTGTTTGATGAATAGCGATGTTATAGTTTACATTTTATGATAATGATATCCCATCTGTGTCAATATAACAATCCTGCAAAAGTAACATATTTGGAAAGTAGTGATGGCCAGCCATTCTAATTTCAGTTTTGAAAGCAGTGCTTCACAACTGTAAAAATAGAAAAGCTGTTGTATTTGGCGATTGAGGTTTGGTGTTATTTTCTTCAGCACAGCACTAGTCGCATTCAATACTAATACATTTGGTGCTGATAAGGCAAGTCTAGCATATTAGGGGTTAGAGTAAGTTTAGGGTTAGAGCTGAACTCCACACAGATATAAAAGACACAAATGAATGCAGCTCTGTATGCACTAATAAATCATTGAATAGTATTTTTTTTTAAATGGAAGCACTCTGATGTTTTGCCTGATTTTGATTTAGTATCAACCTGCTGCAGAGCTCAGACTGGGGGAGGGAGAAACAGTGCAATTAGTTGTGCTGCTCTGCTCTTGCAGTAACAATGGACATGCTGAAAGGAGAGAGCAGAGTGGCAGAGAGATGACCTCATCAATCTGCTGCCTTTCCTTTCACTGTCCAGTGAACAAGACCTGTAAGGCCTCATTCACACCTTAAGGTGTGTTTTGAGATTCCTGCGGCAGGAACCTACAAATTCCCTTGACAGGAAATCCAAATATGCCATTCAGAAGTGGCTGCTGTTGCCCATTTAAGTTAATAATCGGGTGACAGTGGCCGCATTTGAAATCCGCAGTCCTCCAGCACTCCGCATGTAATTGTATGTGATATGATTACATGTAGTTAAGAGTAGATCCCTGGACACATGTACAGTCATCTATTCCTAACCGCATGTAATCGTATCACATACAATTACATGTGGAGTGCAAGTAAGCTGCCGCTTTCAAATGCGGCTTCTGTCACCTGATCTTTAACCTGAACGGGTGAATGTTGCCAGTTGTAGATGGAATAGTTGGGATTCCTACCACAGGAATTCGTAGGTTCCTGTTTGAGGAATCACCTAATGCTCCTTACCATTAGGTGTGAATGAAACCTAAGGCTCTGTTCACACCTAGGCGTATTGAATATGAGCGTTTCGCGGTAAAAAAAACGCGACAAACGCGCGTTTCAGAGGGCTACTTGGCTGTATCCCAATGGAAATACGCAGCAAAAACGCCGCAAAGAAGCTCATGTACCTTTTCAGGCGTAGGCCGTTTTGTAGCGTGTTCAGACGGGCTGAAATACGGCAAGGTGTGAACCATACCCATAGAAAACAATGGGATTTTCATGTTTGAGCGTTTTGTAGAGCGTTCGTAGAGCGTTGAATGCGCTACAAAACGTACAGGTGTGAACCAGGCCTAAGTGTTACTTAACTGCAGCAGAGAACAAACAGATCCTTCTGTTCTGCCAGACATAGCAGTGCTGTGTGGCAGGGCTGTGTAAATCTCAGGTCTGGGTGAACAGAAATACAAATCATTTGACAGATAAAACATGTCCTATATATGTATGTATTTCATCTGTGTATTTAGATGTTACCTTGAGTCCAGCTTTAAGATTAAGGTTAAGGGTGAAGGCCTGACTTTAGAGGGTTAGGTATTAGATCAAGTTTTAGTGGTTATTTTTAGGGTTAAAGTTAGGGTTGAGTTAAGTTTAAGGATTAGGTGACAGGGGAGGTTAATCTTTAATTTTAGGAGTTACATTAGGTTTTATAAGTTCAGATAAGGGAAGGTTCCATGTTAAGGGTCAATGTATGATAATGGTGACGCATTGTGGTTTCATGCATTTTTGATGGCACCCAACTCACCTTGTAAAGTTCTTTTAACCTCTTGCCGTCCGCCCGTAGTAAAAAAACGGACGGACGGCACTGCAGCATCGGGATTTTTTCTGCTCGCGTGCGCCCCCTAGCGGGCACGCACGGGCAGAAAAGACCCGCTAAATGCACACACCTATGTCTGATGTTAGGCACTTTGTGGTGTGTTGGCAGCCCATTCGTAATGAATGGTTGCCTTAACACAATGCACATTAATGGGGGCTTAAGAGTTATGTTGAGATTATGGTCCAGAGCACCAGGGCCAGATATTTTTAATCTTTTTCCAGCACAGGAAATCAATGCTGAACAGTACCAGTTCTTGGTACGAAAAGCCAGCGTGCCATAAAATATACCTTATTTCAGAGAAAAGGGGTGTCAAGGTAAATACCATGTTAGAAATTAAATAATGTGGTCAGTTGTATCATACAGAACAGACCATTCATATTAACAAAGGTGACTGCTTATGAGAATAACATTATCCAATCCATGTATATGGGGAACTATTATAGCAGATAATGGAACTGGAGTTCTGGTTTTACACACACGTTTCATTTCAAGGGACATGTATAATAAGGAATACTATATAATTTTAGTAACATAAAAGGGAAGTTATCCAAGTACAGACATTTTCAACCCCAAACATTTGTATTTATTGAATAGTGTATGTGCAAAACTCCACATTTGTTCCTGTTATAATGTTATAAAATATGGAACCAGTCTTGCTAATTTAATCAAGAAGATGTGATTTGTAAATGTACCAACACTGTAAACATCCATAAATCAATGTGGAGAGTATGTTTACATACATTATATGAACACTATGGGTCCGCTAACCAATAACTCATAGGATAGAACTTTTGTGCTGATTTCCACTTTGAAGTAGCGTGTGTGAGTTCTGTCAAAGACCTTTCTCCTTGATTAGGCAGCTGCACAATTTCATCCCCAAAGCATAGGCTAATATGTGCACATAGCTGTAAATACATACTGGACTTAATGAAAAACACATGTGAGATCCTTTACCAACCGCAAAAAACAGTATTGCTTCCATGACGGGACACAAGTCTGCTCCTAGTTAGAGTAGGCGGCAGGGTGCATTAACTGAACATAATCTATAACTGGACGACTAAACTTGTACAGAATGATGCTTAAAACATTAATGTCATATGTTAGTGTGATGAACACATGAAAAGAAAACACTTAAAGTGCATCTGTGTTTACCTTATATGCTTTAGGGTGGCACCAGAAAATTATCCTCTAGAGCACCCACGGAACCCTATTGGGGGTAGGTAAAATGCTTCTCTGTGCCCAGTATTCCCAGTAAACAGGTACAGGGCCTGTTATGCTATTTCTTATCAACTAGAACATGTGCAAAATGGAGCATGGGAATACAACTATCTCCAGTACCATTATGGATATCCATGAGGCTCATTCAGTAGCCACCCAGATGCTGTTATCTCAAGGAGACCAGGAGTGGGACAAGTCATTTTTGGATTTTTAAAATGTTTTAAACTTCTTTATATTGCAATGATGAATGAGAGGGAGAGATGTTCTGAGATTGACCATTTTTTTAGTTTGCCAGTGGGGACATGTTCCAACCACATAAACAATAAAGGATTAGCCCAAAACAGGTATACTCTAGGAATACCAAATATTTAGATAGGGTTTTATACTAATTATCATCCCAGATCCCGCTGAGTATCAAACTATATCCGAAAGCTCCCTAAAACTTGTTTAACAGTCACTTTGAAGATAAATAAGTAGGGATGCACCGGTGGATAAATGAGTTGGGGAAAAAAAACTATTTTCATTGATAATTTATAAATCATCTTTACAGTGAGATTTTATAATGTTTTAAAATTTTAATGACAAACATATACCACTTGGCCTGTGATAATGAACAATTGTGCATAACACCTCTCCAAGTAAAATCACTTTTGTCATTAACACACTATAATGTGTTATTTGCCATGCTTTAAAAAAAAATTACACTTGTTTGCACATAGATGGCGAGTCTCTAAATACTGAAGTGCTGTAAAATGCATATCTTATGCCTAATATTTAGTGTGCCAGAAAAATGTCAGTACAACACATGCTATTATACAATATCTCACAATCCTCTATGAGTTCCGATTAAAAAATATACATATTTATATATGTTAAATAAAAATTGTTATATACAAAGTAATTATAGTTTTATATAATGACTCCATAGAAATACTGTTTGGTTTTTCACCCCCTGTACAGTAGGGCGAGCAGTACATTCAATATTATTTGGAAATGTGATAAGTAAAAGCTGCCAGCACTCAATGGAACAAATCCTGGCTCTAGATTCTTTGGTGGTCTTCAACACTGACACAAAAGTAGTGGTGTGTCAGTATAGCTTTCCACATTCCATCACCACTTAGAAGTCTGTAGAACATCATTGGTCCAACGGCACACACCGCCAAGTATTAGACATAAAAGACTGTATTACAGCCAATGGAGAAGTATATGCTTGCAGCTTAGATTTGACTGTGGTCCAGTAAATCTCTAAAATGGATCAGTGGGTCCAGCATTGTTTGGACAGTTTTCTTTTCTTCTATTACAAGAGTAGATTGTTTCTTTGTGGAAAGTAACCACTATTATGGTTTGGTTCAAAGTTTGGTTGTGTTGGTGACTGTGGCTAGTTGAGGCTGTCCTTGTGAATACTCCTGTCTGCAATGTAGTAATTTTGGTCATGATTTTTCCACTGAATACTGGTTACATTCATGGGGGACGTGCTTGTGAGGGTCTTTGATTGACAACAGCAACACAGACATGACTGCAATAAAAGAAAGAAAAATAAGAAAAAGGCTATCTTTGTCTACAGTAAGTATGCCTAGATAATGATATAATGTCTAGATAATTATAGACAGTTTTCCCTGTCCTTCCATGCTTTTCTTGTTTCACTCCTCCTAAAGGATTCATGTTTTTCCAGGACCCATCATTTAAGATTTTATCTGTTGCTTCTGCTAGTGAAATCTTACATCACCGTTCCTCTGATCTGTAATTCTAAAGTCCCATTAACATTTTTGATTACCAATGTAAATAACGCAAACTGTGGACGGTAAGGCTGTGAGTAGTCAAAGATCTATAGCACATTTCCAATAAAAACTTTAGTTTAATAACTTATATTTAAATGTTGGCCAATTCTTTATTTTTTATGATTCTTTTTTTATATATATAATTATGTATCACTTGCACTGTTTAAAATCATCAGTCTGGAATCTGAAATTGTGACTCTTTATTTTACTTTTCAAAAGTAAAATGAAAAAAAAAAATCAAAAATCAAAATCATCAGTGGCTCTGAAACCAATTAAACAAAGTACATTTCATATCAGCTTTTATCTATTTTTGCTGGGTGAACCAGTTCAAGATCTTCTAGTAAAGCATTCCATATTATCAATAAATAAATCAATAAATAAATGTGACACTCACTATTGTGCTCAAATTGTCACTGCCAATTTCCCATAGAACTCAAAATTACAGTGAAAATGACAATTTGTAATAGTAGAAAGTAATTTACTTTGTTGCCATCATTCATTCAGCAAGCTGCTAAACACAAATGGGATTACTCTGATACTATGTTTTTATGCTTGTAAAGCTAATTTGTTGCATTGAAAATGCCCCAACCTCCTGCTATTGAGATGTTTATGACTCTAGAGGACCAGGTTGCCTCTAAATACAAATTGATTAATGAAGCTATGGATGGGGATGTTGTATCATTGTGATCAGGGGCAGGGGGTGGCTGTGTGTGTGTATCGGCGGTGTGCATGTGCGTCTTTTTTGTTTCCATTGCGATCTGCATGTTGATTATTTTGGGGGTTTTCTGACTCATTTTCTTTTTGTATTGTATCTTTTAAAAAAACTAAACACATTTTTAAAAAAAAAACACAAATGGCAACTGTCCTAACCACTAAAAAATTTGTTATTTTGTTCAGCCACTTTTCTGATCAAGACTAAAGTCCTGGACCTTCACTGCAGTTAAATAACCCGCATCGGTCCAGGTTTTCCCTCTAGCTAGCTAGCTGATTGGATACTGAAGGAGCAGCAGTATCACTCTTTTCCTTGTGTCAGCAAGCTCCTAATGTTACAATGACAGTATTTTGTACTGCTGCAGAGTTTGACTTTTCTGGTGCTGGCCCTGTGTCTTCCAGTCTGAGTCAACTTGTAAAGAGGGTTTAAAGCCGCAAATTCAGCTACTCATCTAAATGTTTTATGTATATATAGCTGTACTAATTGGTGTTTTAATATGTGCAATTTCATCTTTTATAATAATTTCTAAATCAGACTAAATCCAGTATCATCCAGTATCATCCAGCACAATGGAAAAGGTCACGTAGTCCCTGATATTCACATAACATTGTTTTACGAGTACAACTAGATTTACTTTGTCAGGGAAATTCCCAGTTTGCACAGACTATTTCACAGACACTGAACAGCTTCTTACCTGAAAACAGTTTTTAAACTTCTTGCTTACGAAGTAGAGCGCGATTGGATTAATACAAGAGTTTAATGCTGCCAAGTTAATGCTGATGAAATCCATAACCAACAGAAAGCTAAATATCAAAAGAAAAAAACAATCAAATTGCTTTCTGTTTGAATTTTCAGCATAGCCTTGTAATATAATTATCGGAGTCTCAGTACAGAACATTTAGAGACAGACATTGATGTAAACCACACCAGTACAAATCAGAATAAAACAGACAGTATTATCCGGTAACACATCACATCTGTTTGACTTCATTAACTGGATACATGGACGTGCATTATACATTTAAACATTTTAAAAGGAATTCATCCAATGGGATTCCACCATAATGCTGTAATGCTATGATTTATGCATACACTCCTGTGTAGTCTAAGTCTATATTCATATGTAATATACTGCAAATTTAGTGTGGTGATACCAGATTAGGTAGAAACAGCTCTGTAGACCAGTTTTGAAAACCAATATACAGTAAGTCTTTATGGCGGGCTCTCCTGTTCTCTTTCCATTTCTTCTTCATTTCCTTTCTTCATACATTCTATTTCCCTCTTTCCTTTTTCCGTTTTCTAAAACCTTCTTCTTTTCCCCTCCCTCTTTCCCCCTCCTTCTGGCACCCCATCCTAGTTTCTATTAAGCCATGTTCATTAATAACATATTGGACTGAAATATTTGTCCTTAGGTGGTACTGGGAGATTGCCTTGAAATCCCATGCCAAGGTCACACATAAAATTACTTACATTTTGAAAAACTTTCAGCTAAACTCTCCGACTCTATGGTTAAAATTTGGGATACATGGATTTTGCGATGCCTACCCCCCCCATTTTTTTGATCGTCAATTATCGTCTCTATAATCTGAATATAGTCCTACATCTGAGTATGACCCTCAAACATGCTACCCATGGTATTTTCTTTCACTTATTCCCTCCCTTCTTTTCTTCCACTCTTCTCTCCCGTTTCAATGTCCCTTTTTCACACTTTAATATCTCAGGACTGTATGTTTGACGTTCCTCAAGAATGTAAGTCTTTTTGCTGGTTCTTATTCTCCCAAGAACTGTAACTGATGTCAAATGCACTACCTGTATTCGAGCCTTCTTTACTCCGTGTTACTGTACAACTGTATTTGCACCTATATTTTGTTTGTGTAAATTTTTTTTAGCATTACCAATAAAAAACTATTGAACAGAAAAAAAAATTACTTAAATTTTATATCTGCACTAATTAGCTTTTTGCATTAGTTTGATGCCTATTGCTATGCCTAGCGTTATTTCTGTCTCTATCATGGCTGCTGCGTCAGCTTATTGGCCTATTCGCAATGGTTATGTTTAATGTTTATTTTGTTGAAATAATACAAATTTAGTGAACGAAATCTAAAATAAGCATTAGGGTACAAAAAGCAATAGTGTGCAGTAGCTAATCTGTCAGCACTGAGGCATGGAGGGGATATTTGCTCATGCTTATCCAACTGCTTGAATGGTCCAATCACCAGCACAGCCCCCAGCTTGGACACACCATGACTGAAGTGTCACATAAAAAAAAAGAAAATCTTACTGCCTAGGCGCCATGGTCACCAGTTACCAACCTCGAGAACTGCTCTAAAAACTCTCTTGAGTTTACTGAATACTCAGTGTCTGTCGTTGCCTGCCACTGCGGCCTGATGAGGAGTCAGCATTGACTTCAGTTTTTATTACCATTTAAAAATCAAAGCGAATCAATATGTGAAATGTTCTGCCACATATGTATAATGGCTTATTCTAACTGCATTAAGCTCTTGAATATTTATTATTAAAGGGTAAACATTACTGACATTTTTAATTTAAATGTATTTGTAGGGATTATCTGCTGTATGTTTCTATACACATGAATGATACAATTAACGTTGAGCTGCCGACAGACATAAAATACAAAAATGAATGGAGCTGTGTAATTTAAAATATTTAATTGTATTACATTTTTTTTTTATAATGCAGTGTTAGTACTTGAATTTGACTTGGTATGAGACTCTTGCAGTCTACTTTACAGCAGACTTGAGGGGGAGGGGGGAGCAGCACAAAGAACCAGTCAGGCATACTGCAATGCAAGAAGCATGCTGGTAGGAAAAGAGAGCAGAGTGACACATCGGTTAGCTCATTGGTGTGCTGCTCCCTCTCCCTGGCTAATTCTATCTTTAGCAGTTGGCTTAAATCAAGAACAGGCACCAGGTGAATTGTCAGCATAGTCAGTATACTAACAAAGACCAGTGCTGGGGACATTTTTTTTATAGATGTAATAATAATAATATTAATAACAACAACAACAACAATAATAACAATAATCATAATTATTATGATATTTTATGACATTATTATTATTATTATTAATGCTCTTGAACACAATTGCTCTCTATCCCTAATACAACCTTAAACTTTTTTATTTATAACACTACAAACCTCAGGCCTCCTATAAGGTTTTACACTACAGGTATTCCTCACTTAACGACCGAGTTCCGTTCCTATGACCAGGTCGTTAAACGGATTGGTCGTTAAGTGAGGAACTCTATACAGTACTGTACTGCATTAGTACAGTACTGTATAGCGTTGCCGATGTACAGTACCGAACAGTGTACTGTACATCGGGCAATGGAAATACTTACCGGGACCTGCAGTGAAGATCGGAGGATGTCACTTCCATCGGCGACACGTCGCACTGACGCTAACGCGCAAGGTCGGAGGTCGATCGGCGGTCCATCGTAAGTGCGAGTGGTCGCAAAACAGGTAAGTCGGTAAGTGAGGAACATCTGTAAAACCTTATAGGAGGCCTGAGGTTTGTAGTGTTATAAATAAAAACTTTTAGCTGAGGATGTTTGTCTCTATTAGACATACATGGTTAATTTCAGTCTGCAGTAGAAGCTCAGGGGGCAACAAATCCACAGCTAAGACAGCTTAGCAAACAGTAGTGCATAATGGGGCCTCCCTCCTACCCCAGGCCCCATAGCAGCTGCTTGGCTTGTTATGGTCATTACTACGCCACAGCACATTAAACTATGCGGTATTATAAAAACTCCTGATTACCTGAGAAGCTCACAGCGTCCAGAATCATTCTCATTGTACACGGTCTTCTTGATGATTCTGCTCAGATGCAGTGGAAACCAACACAGGGCAAATATCACAACCAAGCAGAAAACTGTCTTTGCAACCTCGCGTCGCTGTAAAGACATTGTACACGTCATACTACTTTCTTGAAACTATAGCCTTTAAAATAGTTTGATGTATTCTATCTCACTGGTAAATCTATTACACAGGCAATGTACATATTCACATAATTTAGGCTTTAAAAAAAAACAAAAAAAAACTTTGACTGCCCATTTTGTCACATGAAAGCAGTCTTTCCATGGAAAATGAACATGGAAAATACATATGGAATGAAAATGCTACAAAAAGTGTAAACAAAACAAAACAAAAAAATCATTGCAATAAATTGTGAAATCATTTAAAGCCTATCTCTGGGGAAATAACTCCCCTTCATTGCAGCTGGGCTACCCCTGCATTGCAAGGATTAACTGCTTGTTCATGTCTAGGGGGATTGTGTAAAGCAGTTTTACTTACCTGATCTCAGCTCCCCTGGCAGTTGGCGCTCACCTCGCTCTCCTCCACTATGGCTTATGGACTGTCCCTCGGCATCCTCATGTATAATGCAGGAACATGGACTGTGCATTAGATGTGATGATGTCAGAAGGCCTCCGACCACCATAGTGGATGGGGG